TCTCTGATCATCTTCAGCCTCATAGGCGTTTGTGGGGCTGTGATGCGCAGGCTTGGCCAGGACAGTGAAGACTTGTGGTGCTGGATGTAAACAAACTGGAACCTCGGTTGTTGGATTGAGAAAAGTATGCATTTGTGGAGGGGGAGGGAGGGAGGGTTAGGTTTGGTAAGAGTAAAGGGGCAAAAGGATAAAGTGTCACGGGAGGACATACACTAACCTCCTCCCGTGACCCAAAGCTCAGTATATCGCAAGCTATTACCCGCTTTATACTGAGGGCGCCGTAGCCGGGACGGATCCCGACAATACTGTCGAGATCCACCCAGCTAGCTGATTGACAGTGGGCTCTGACAGTGGGCTCTGCCTATCTAGAGGCAGAGCCAACTATGCCCGCCCCCTTCCCCATCCATTCCTCCAATCAGCGCTGGAGGATGGGAGAGGGATGCGGGGAATTCCTGCAGGGAGATGATCGGGAAGTGAGTGAGCGCCGGTATGTGTTCGCTCACTTCCTGATCTATAGAGCCAACGCGTGACAGTTTCAATGTCACAGGTTGGCTTTAACCATGAGGATGAGTGGAAATCACTCCTCATAGTTCTCCTTAAATGTGTGTTTTTGTTTTTGGCAAGCAGTGTAAGTACCTGAATTGGACTTGGTATCAGAGTTCATACTGAGAGAAATACAAATCCTTTGCCAGGTAAAAAAGCTCCCGTATATTTTATATATATATATTTTTAATATTCATAGACTGCATTTTACTAACATAATTTATTCATTTGTCAAACTTAATTGGTGTCTTTTTTTCTACAGATCTCCCTTTTTTCTACTATTCAGAGAACACAATAGCCAATCATCATGGTGGTGTTTATTCTCCTGTTGATACAGGAAGTAGATGGAGGTTTCCCTACATGGCTGAGAGTTGTACTTACTCGAACCTGACGGTGGCCTGTTCCAGAAACTTCTTGTCGAAGAGCCATCGGAAGAACAGGTCCAGGCTGACAGACAGAGAAGAATGATGTGAAGAGGAAGGGAATACAATAACACATTTCACACTATGTACATACAGCTCATCTCACCTGCTCAGGCCCAGAGACGGCAGCAGCAGCACCATGAATATCAGGAAGGTGTAGCACTTGTGCATTGTAGTGCGATTCTCCCCCGACCTGCGATCAGACATCACAATCAATTGCCCAGTTTTTGTACTTTTAGTATATTGCCATTTGCAGTGAAATGGTCACCTAGCTGTGGTCGGGGGCTGAGTTCAGGCAATGAAAAGGTCACCTAGCTGTGGTCGGGGGCTGAGTTCAGGCAATGAAAGGGTCACCTAGCTGTGGTCGGGGGCTGAGTTCAGGATATGAAAGTCACCTGGCTGTGGTCGGGGGCTGAGTTCAGTCAATGAAAGGGTCACCTGGCTGTGGTCGGGGGCTGAGCTCAGGCATTGAAAGGGTCACCTAGCTGTGGTTGGGGGCTGAGTTCAGGCAATGAAAGGGTCACCTGGCTGTGGTCGTGGGCTGAGTTCAGGCATTGAAAGGGTCACCTAGCTGTGGTCGGGGCGCTGAGTTCAGGCAATGAAACGGTCACCTGGCTTGTGTTCTTCTGATCTAAGCAATTATCTAGCCAGAGGGTGAATTGCCATATTATGGACATGGGGTGCTAAGAGCAGGAGATGTAACATCAGAGGGGGGTACCTGGTCCAGTGCGCCTCGAAGAACGCTGAGTAATAGACGATGGTTGGCAGCAGAGCGGAGAACGCCCACAGTAACAGAGTGGGGAAGAACTGAGTGATGATTGGATTCTGTGTATACAAACATACAACAAACATGTCAGTCCATCAGAACACATCTGAGGCCCTTCCTGGTATTTCATTTCCAGGTCATCACTCATACAATACCCTATTGTGCTCAGGTTACATGAACCATAACCAGATCAAATGTGTGAATGCCTCCACTGTATGAGGGGCACATGCATAAGAGGCGCGAGACCTCCTATTATTAATATCCAATGTTGTAAATGATCGTTTTATTGACTAAGCTGACTCTCTTCGGTGAGACTGCTCACATGCACCAGAGCACCACAACAAAAGAGGATCCTGATGGAAGTCCAAATGTGTAAAAAGCAGTATGGCGCCACACCAATGGTCCTAGAATCCAGAATAGGTTTCAATTGAATAATTGAGAAAAAGCGCCAACACGTTTAGGGGTTCAGATTCTCTGCAATCACTGGCACCACAACACTTGTGCTGGAGGTCATGCTGGGACCCCTTCACACAGCCACATGGCAGCACCAACCTCAGTACCTGGCAATGGCAAGTTAATACACTGCTTTTAGCTGCTTGCTGTTCACCGGACTCAAAACCGGAGATCAACAGAAGAGTACAGAGCTTTCAATAACCAGAATTCACATTATTTGAAGCACTGTATTATCCTGCTGAGCTCCGGCTTTGCCCTGATGAAGGTGTATTGTCGGAACCCGTAAAATGCTCTTTTTTTATATAAGTATTGTGCACTATGTGACCATTGGTGCCCAATAAAAAAAACTTTATTGACTATGCGTCAACACACACTGCCTAGTTTATGGGTCTTGTGTATAATGTCTAATTGGAGGACCAAATGAAAGGTCTGAGAAACCAAATACGTTTGGCTTTTGCTGGTCCACTGATTCCAGCCATATCCTGTCTCTATACAGCAAACATTCCCTCTTAACAGTCTATTAGACTTTATACATGTGAATTTTTAGATCTGGGCTCCCTGTTTAAGGGACACCCATTTTTTGTCGAGAGCAGCTTCACCAGAGCCATTGTGCCATGTCACAATCTGAATGATCTAGTGATAAATTTGAGTGCAGCGCCTCATTTCTAGTTTATGGGTCTGTCATGGTAGACAATGTCCATGGCTGAGTCTCATCTGGTTCTCCTCTCCCATAGAGTGTTCAGAACCTAAATATCTGCTGCAAATAAAAGCTTCACATTAATGTAAAGCCAGATAAAGGCTGCCTGGTTTGTATTATAATAATCTATATGATTAAAGGAGAACTATGAGGGGAGCGCTTTTCACTCACCTCATAGTCCTAGCCGACCTGTGACAATGAGACTGTCACAGGTCAGCTCAGTAGATCGGGAAGTGAGCGAACACATGCCGGTGTTCGCTCACTTCTCGATCCTGTCACGGCAGAGAGCCATGACAGGGGAGGGGATGGATTCCCCCCTCCCTGCTCCGATCCGCCAGCGCTGACTGGCGGAATGGAAAGGGGAGGGGGCGGGTACAGCTGGCTCTGCCTCTAGATAGGCAGAGCCAGCTGACACTCACGCAGCTGGGCGAATCTCAACATCAATGTCGGGATCCGCTCCGGCTGCGGCGCCTCAGTATACCGCGAGCTAAGCTTAGGGTGACGGGAGGACGCTAGTTTGTGTCCTCCCGTTTCCCTAAGGAGAACTATTGGGAAAAGCCCTGACCCCATAGTTCTCCTTTAAGACATTTTTTGCAGTGCTGTATTTTCATTTTTGGAGGTTCTCTGTACCTTACTGTCATTTCCTCACTTTATATTTGTCTCAGAAGCTGACAATCTGCTCTAAAGGTAGCTGTGCGAGTGCTCTCCATTCCTTCCAGTCTTTGAACAGTTAATGGAATGATTATATGACAGAAATTGAACCTTCCCCTGGACTCACATTCAGGTACTCCACAGGTTTGGTGACGTTGAACTTGTCCATGGTGGTGATGATGATGGCTGGTGTGGTGAGGAAGAAGAGGAGGAGGAAGAGAATGACGTTGATAATCAGGCAGCGGATCCACCAGAGGAAGCCACGCGTAGACAGGTGCTCCCTGGAGGGTGACAAAAGCACATTTATCACCTTCTGAGCAATACATGAGACACAATACAGCCAAATTCCCACAGTGAATGAATCGTGAGTACCGTCTACCCTGAGACAGACAGTCCTATCCCTGGTCACCTGAAACTCGATGAACAGCATAACATACCATCAGCACTCTGAACCCTGCTCAGCATGCATCTGCCCCTGACCCAACATAAAGGACATTAACCTATATTTAATAATGTAAATATTTTTAAGAAATCATTCATTTTTAAGGAGTTTTCACTCATAGTTTCATAGGATAAGCTGAGGAGCATTGCCTACAGTTTAGCACAAAGGAGAAGGAACATAAAAATACACTGTGCAGCATTTCTGAAAAGGAAGCAAAGTCTGCATATGTAATGGGTACAGCTGGCTGTCACCATGTATGTAGATTTACAATAAACACAGGGGAAGGGTTTTAATTAATTAACACAGTGATTTGGTTCAGATGAATGTCAAAAAAATTGAGTTTTCATTTCACCTTCACTGAAATTGGCAATTTTCTAGTGAACTCATATTCACCAAAATATCTCCACTCACCCCCTAGAAATCATATGTATAAATTTTTACATAAAACATACAAATACATCTACCAAAAAAGTACAGACCAATATATCGGAGCCTAGGTGGAGCTATAGAAGAAACCTTGTATTCAGCTTCTGTACCATTATTTATGTGATAGAGTCCCGTTACCATCTTCAGTCTGAGGAATGACCATTACCCCTCTCCCTTCCCCAAACTAAGCCCCAGAAATGACCACACTCCAATCTTCATTCCTTGGAGCCCCTCCCCCCTTAGAAATGACCCACCCCTCAAGAATGACCACACTCACCCAGGAATGACCATGCCCCCCTCTCCCCACCCCTAACGACACACCTCAAGAATGACCACCCAAGAATGACCAATGCCCTGTGCGCCCCTGCCCCAGGGGAACCTCCTCTCACCAGTAGATATTCTGCGGGTCCGGAGCGTAGCTGACAGTCCAGTTGTGCAGGTGAAGAGCTTCACTGCAGGATGAGTTTTTGGGCTCCCCTCGGCAGCTGCAACCGTGACATTTACATGCATTGAAATCTTTCAGAATCCTGCAAGGGGAAAAAGAAATACAAAGCTTCAGGTATACAATAAAGGGTGTAGTGATTAAGGCAGAGTGCCTGGAGATTTCTAGGCTGGGCAGAGAGCAACAGACAAACAATACAAAATGGGAGCTCACTGGCAATAACCTAGAGAGATCCAGATAAAGATCACCTTTGGTGACACCTAACATATGGGGTTGTTTGCATTGCTGTCACAAACTTTTTGAGAGTCGAGAGAAATAAAAGTCTCGACACGTCATCATTCAGACATAAACCTTGTGAAGTATTCCCAGGTTGGGGCTCCAGGGCTCTAATACAGGGCAACGGAGGCAAGAGCTCCAACCTCTATCTCCCTGGGGGCAAGGCATTACACATGGGGGAGGAGTCAGGCCACAATCTAAGGATTTGAAATTCATGCTAGTAATATGTAGTTGTGAAAAGTCAGGCGCCAGAAGCATTCAGGGAGAAGTTTAAGATGTTGGTGACACTTGGGGGCAGAGCAAGAAAAGCCAACAACACAGGGAGAAAGCCTAGACATTGCCGATTCCGAGTACCTTTACAGTGGACTTACATGGCAGTGGTGGCCTCATTCTGAAAGGTGACAAATGCCATTCCAAGTGGCTTCTCGTTGACCTTTTCCTTTTCCTTCTTGTAGTCTTCTTTCAAGCGCTGCTCTAACCGTGTATAATATTCGATGGCCTCCACCTATGGCAGTGAAGGAAGATCAAAATTACATGACAGCAGAACCAGTGAACAACCTTCGTTTCCTAATACTTCCCATAGAGCACCTCACCGGGTATCACCTTCCAATGTATGATCATCATGTGAACATTACTCCCTAATAGCTTCCATAGAGCACCTCACTGGGTAACACCTTCCAATGTATGATCATCACTCCCTAATACTTCCCATAGAGCACCTCACTGGGTAACACCTTCCAATGTATGAACATCACTCCCTAATACTTCCCATAGAGCACCTCACTGGGTAACACCTTCCAATGTATGAACATCATGTGAACATTACTCCCTAATACTTCCCATAGAGCACCTCACTGGGTAACACCTTCCAATGTATGATTATCATGTGAACATTACTCCCTAATACTTCCCATAGAGCACCTCACTGGGTAACACCTTCCAATGTATGAACATCACTCCCTAATACTTCCCATAGAGCACCTCACTGGGTAACACCTTCCAATGTATGAACATCATGTGAACATCACTCCCTAATAGCTTCCATAAAGCACCTCACTGCGTAACACCTTCCAATGTATGAACATTACTCCCTAATAGCTTCCATAAAGCACCTCACTGCGTAACACCTTCCAATGTATGAACATTACTCCCTAATAGCTTCCATAAAGCACCTCACTGGGTAACACCTTCCAATGTATGAACATTACTCCCTAATAGCTTCCATAAAGCACCTCACTGGGTAACACCTTCCAATGTATAATCATCACTCCCTAATATCTCCCATGGAGCCCCTCAGTTGGTATCACCTTCCAATGTATGAACATCACATCTCCAACCCTTTCCAACTCCTCCTGTAGAGCACCTCACCTTCCAATGTATGTATATTATGTCTCCAACACTTCCTAATACCACCCACGGAGCATCTCACTGGGTACTACCGTATTTTTCGCTCCCTAAGACGCACTTTTTTCCCCCCAAAAGGAGCAAACACCTACCGCCCGACGCCCGGGACATGCAGTTTCGAGCGCCGGGCGAGTAGCTTCTTTGTACATTCTTTGTACATGCTCCTGACAAGCAGAGTTGAATGTACAGTGGGAGCCGCTGCTCGTTTAATACAAGGGATCTAATTAGATCACTTGTATTGAATCCAGCGGCGATCGTGTCCACCTCTGCCGTGGTTTACGGTCCCCTCTTGGGGACCGTGACCATGGCATAGGAGCTCACCATAGAGCCCCTTGAGCAGACAAAGAACGTCGTTCTTCGTCTGCTCTGTGTGATTACTGAGACCGTGGCGCTGTAATCACAGCGCCACCTGTCTCAGCGGTCACTGAACTGCAGCTTCCTATGGACCGGAGCGCCTTATGGAGCGCAAAATACGGTACTTTTCAATATATGTATATCATGTCTTTATTACTCCCCAATGCCTCCCACGGAGCACCTCACACTGTGTATCACCTTCCAATGTATGCATGTCATGTCTTCATCACTTCCTCATATCTCCCATAGAGCACCTCACTGGGCACCGCCTTTCAGTGTATTCATCATGTCACAGAACAAACATCCAACCGCATAGAACCTTGGATTACAGCCTATACAACTTTACTGCTACATAGTGGGTTTACAGAATGATGCTTTAAAGTGACATTAAAGTCAAAAAATGTTTCCCTCCCCCCCAATGTTAATGTCAGCACTTACCTTAAATGATGTCTCTTAATCCGATCTTCTTCTTTCCTGATGTTTTCATCTGTCCCTCCAGCGGTGCGGCGGCTCTCCGATCCAGCGCCGACACCTCTCTGCTTGCAGGCACTTCTGATCCAGCGGTGTCTGCATGCGGGTGCACGCGTCCTTGCGTCGCTGCTCGTCTCCCGGCCGAGAATCCGAACTGTGTATGTGCCCGCCCCAAGGTGCTTTGCGGCCGCACAAGCAGTTTCGGATTCTCGGACGGGAGCGCGCAGCGATAACGAGGTAAGTCAAGCGCTGTTAAAGCGTTTTTTGTTTTTTTCAAAAACTTTTTGCCTATATCTACTGCTTGATAGCGGTAGATATAGGCCAAAAAAACGGAGGCTTTAGAACCACCTTTACTACCTCCGGGCTGGCCGTAGTAAAAAAACGGCCGGCCGGGAGCTCTCTAGATCTGAGCGGGCGTCTTTAGACGTCCACTCAGACACGCCGCTGGGCGCGCACGAGCGGGATATGCCCGATATTCAAAAACAGGCAGCGATGCCTGTTAACATACAAGCGATCCGCCGGCAGATGGCTTGTACGGGGTAACGATCGGTGCAACGCTGTACCGGGATCAGCATGGCGCCTGCGTCACAGGGGATCAGAGGGAGATCGGTACACGAGCTCCCTCCGGTCCCCTCTCCGGTGTCAGAATGCGGAAGTGGTGTATATTACATCACTTCCGCATTCTTGTGTCACTCTCCAGCTTCAGAAGCTGGAAAGAAGCTGATGGAGCAGATCTCTGCTTCATCAGCTTCTTTTGGGGGGGTCCTAGGTGACATTAGGGATCTTGGAGACCCCTGATGTCTCTATAAAGAGGACCTGTCACATATTTTGCTATCACATAGGGGGGTTTCATTAGCCCCCGTATGTGATGGCAATAAAGTTTAGTGGGAAAAAAAAAAAAAGGGAAAAAAATTAAAGTCCCCCCCCCAAAATTTAAAGTTACACATAAAAAAAGAATAAAAAAAACTAAAACATTTTTTAAAGTCCCCACCCGTACATACACGCATGCAAACATGCGTCGGGGGCGCATACGTGCAAAAAAGACGATTGCGCCCATTACGCCGCACATGTTACAAATCGGCGTGAACGTCGGAGTGAGGGCAATAATTTTAGGACCATCAATCACTGATAACACTAAACTGATGAGCGGTAAAAGCTTTTAAAGCGTCGCCTATGGCCAATTTTGGGTATGGTAGTTTTCTGCGATTTCGCGGGTGAGCGCAATTTTAAGGCTTGACATGTTTGGTGTCTATCTACCCGACGTGACCCTGACTTTTATATTTTACCAAAAAACTGGGTAATAATAAATGTTTCCTAACAATGTAAAAAAACAAATCAAAATTTTCAGTAATTTTTCCTAATTATAGTAAAAAATCAAACCCCAGTGGTGAATAAATACCACCAAAAGAAAGCTCTATCTGTCCCCAAAAAATGGTATAAAATTAATTTCAGCACAGCGCTGCATGACGGAATAAATGTCAGCCAAAGTACCGCAGTGCTGAATACTGAAAAATGGCCTGGCCAGGAAGGGGGTGTAACACCTGGTCTTCAAGAGGTTAATTAAGCTGGTCAGTCAATTTCCCCCACTTTCTATCCAGTGGGAATTGCAGATACAGTTGTAATCAAAATGATTGAACCTCCATTGCAAATCAGGTTTATTGGCAACATTTACAGACTTTCAGCTGCAGCTTAATAGGACCTGCCGGGTCCAACACAAAGTAGGTCAAAGTACAGCCTCATAACTGTTAAGGTGCCCATACACCTTACGATTATCGGACGATTTTCGTATGCGATCGACTTTTCGGCCGATAAACGTATGTGTGCATTGCAGTGTCCGACCGACAGTACTGTACAATCGTACGACTTTTGACGGTCAAACATGTTTGAAAACTTTGCTAGCGTAAGGTTGCTGGCGTTTCTGTCCGTCAAAAGTCGTATGATCTACACTGCGCTTGCGCGAACAAAAATACGACAATCAATTACCGCATTTCGTCCAGGTGCTTTTCGTTAATTACGGCTAAATTAATCTTGCGATCATCGGGGCGGGATGGGGCTGCCGTACGAAAATCGTACGACTATTCGATCATCGGACGAAAAGGTGTATGGGCACCTTTATTCTCTCGCCACCACTAAAGTATCTGTAACACGTGTTAAGAGCAGGAATACAACGACCGTGTACACAAGCCCTGACTCTCCAGAATCCACAAAAACACTGAAAGATCAGTTCTTAAAAACAGCCGATTGGTGCTGGTCTGTGGCGGAAGGTATCATAACCTAATCCAGGTCTATTAGATTTAGGGTTGGGCTGTTTCTACTAAACCTGCACGGGTGACTCCCACCATTGCCCTGTCTTTGGCTTTCTCAACAAGGCTGCTCATGCCACAGTAGCCCATAGCAAGCAATCAGAATCTAGTTGACTGCAGTTATATCAGTGCACAAATCATTTCCTATCAATTCCTTCATTGGGGTAATAACATGTCCTGTGCACCACCCCGTCCCCTCACCTGCTCGCATCCTTTTATCACGCAGCAGCATAAGTGACCGCACGGCTTTGGGTTGATGAAGGACGTCAGGCTCTCTTTACTCATTAAGTGGGTGAAGTAGAGGCGACCGCGCTCAGCTTTTTTCCTAAACACAACAAAGAGAGACATGAGGTGTTTCTGCACCACAGGAGATTGCATTCTAACAACCCCAACACAGTCACAGCTATTAGTATACATTTATATAGCTCTGACATATTCTGTGGAGCTGTACAGAGGACACTAATATAAGTGTGTGACTGATCCATACATTTATGAAGAGAACACCGAGTACAGAGACAAACAAAAAGATACTTTGTCGCACTCCTTACCGGTAAAACCCAAAGTTGAATGAGGGGTGGGGTGCCTGTAGTGACCTGCGGATGGCGCCGCCACACAGCATAAAGATGAATGAATGTCACCAGCACACCACCAGTATTGCAGTCCATGTTTTGGGGACATGACGTTCCAATAAACAAACTCTTTGGACTGCAATACTGGTTGTGTGCTGGTGACATTTATTCATCTTTACACTGAGAACACAAACTCACTTGGAAACCAATGGAATACGTTTCCAAAAGCAGTGCAGAGCAATGTAATCAAGAGCGGAAGATTCATTTAATAGAGTCATCGGAAAAATGACAGCGGACAAGTCACTAAGGACAAGTGGGCTCCATTGTGTGCCCTGGTTTTCTATTGTTTTGTTAGTTACCCTACAGTGTGTGCCCAGAATAAGAGGGAATGTCCTTATGAAAGGGAAGATGATGCGTCTAACTTGTAGAGTGTCCGCTCTTACCTCTCTGTGTCCAGGAACATGAGCCTGGCCACATTATAGCACGGCCGAGCTTCCAGCACTATGCAGTTGTTATACGCCTCCCTGCAACAAAAGAAAAGAACTTAGCAATATTCCAGAGCCCACGGATCCAAATCACATTAGACAAATCTACAGAGACCCGAACACATCGCAGACCGTTCTCTAGAGCCCAGAGATCGGGTCACATAAGATACAGCTCTCCAGAGATCCGGTCACACCAGACACAGCTCTCCAGAGGCCAGAGGTCCGGTCACACCAGACACAGCTCTCCAGAGCCTAGAGATCTGGTCACACTATATACAGCTTTCCAGAGGCCAGAGATCCGGTCACACCACATACAGCTCTCCAGAGATCCGATCACACCAGATACAGCTCTCCAGAGATCCGATCACACCTACTATGCAGTTGTTATACGCCTCCCTGCAACAAAAGAAAAGAACTTAGCAATATTCCAGAGCCCACGGATCCAAATCACATTAGACAAATCTACAGAGACCCGAACACATCGCAGACCGTTCTCTAGAGCCCAGAGATCGGGTCACATAAGATACAGCTCTCCAGAGATCCGGTCACACCAGACACAGCTCTCCAGAGGCCAGAGATCCGGTCACACCAGACACAGCTCTCCAGAGATCCGGTCACACCAGACACAGCTCTCCAGAGGCCAGAGATCCGGTCACACCAGACACAGCTCTCCAGAGCCTAGAGATCGGGTCACACTATATACAGCTTTCCAGAGGCCAGAGATCAGGTCACACCAGATACAGCTCTCCAGAGATCCGATCACACCAGATACAGCTCTCCAGAGGCCAGAGATCCGGTCACACTATATACAGCTATTTAGAGGCCAGAGATCCGGTCACACTATATACAGCTATTTAGAGGCCAGAGATCCGGTCACACTATATACAGCTATTTAGAGGCCAGAGATCCGGTCACACTATATACAGCTATTTAGAGGCCAGAGATCCGGTCACACTATATACAGCTATTTAGAGGCCAGAGATCCGGTCACACTATATACAGCTATTTAGAGGCCAGAGATCCGGTCACACTATATACAGCTATTTAGAGGCCAGAGATCCGGTCACACTATATACAGCTATTTAGAGGCCAGAGATCCGGTCACACTATATACAGCTATTTAGAGGCCAGAGATCCGGTCACACTATATACAGCTATTTAGAGGCCAGAGATCCGGTCACACTATATACAGCTATTTAGAGGCCAGAGATCCGGTCACACTATATACAGCTATTTAGAGGCCAGAGATCCGGTCACACTATATACAGCTATTTAGAGGCCAGAGATCCGGTCACACTATATACAGCTATTTAGAGGCCAGAGATCCGGTCACACTATATACAGCTATTTAGAGGCCAGAGATCCGGTCACACTATATACAGCTATTTAGAGGCCAGAGATCCGGTCACACTATATACAGCTATTTAGAGGCCAGAGATCCGGTCACACTATATACAGCTATTTAGAGGCCAGAGATCCGGTCACACTATATACAGCTATTTAGAGGCCAGAGATCCGGTCACACTATATACAGCTATTTAGAGGCCAGAGATCCGGTCACACTATATACAGCTATTTAGAGGCCAGAGATCCGGTCACACTATATACAGCTATTTAGAGGCCAGAGATCCGGTCACACTATATACAGCTATTTAGAGGCCAGAGATCCGGTCACACTATATACAGCTATTTAGAGGCCAGAGATCCGGTCACACTATATACAGCTATTTAGAGGCCAGAGATCCGGTCACACTATATACAGCTATTTAGAGGCCAGAGATCCGGTCACACTATATACAGCTATTTAGAGGCCAGAGATCCGGTCACACTATATACAGCTATTTAGAGGCCAGAGATCCGGTCACACTATATACAGCTATTTAGAGGCCAGAGATCCGGTCACACTATATACAGCTATTTAGAGGCCAGAGATCCGGTCACACTATATACAGCTATTTAGAGGCCAGAGATCCGGTCACACTATATACAGCTATTTAGAGGCCAGAGATCCGGTCACACTATATACAGCTATTTAGAGGCCAGAGATCCGGTCACACTATATACAGCTATTTAGAGGCCAGAGATCCGGTCACACTATATACAGCTATTTAGAGGCCAGAGATCCGGTCACACTATATACAGCTATTTAGAGGCCAGAGATCCGGTCACACTATATACAGCTATTTAGAGGCCAGAGATCTGGTCACATGGCAGACAGTTCAGAGCTTAGAGATCTGATCACACCATACACAGCTCTCCACCACAAAGGGTTCAGTAATTAGAGAGCATTGCGACTTACTCAAAATGCTTCTTAATTTTTCCTGGTTCTGCGTATTTGGAAATGCCATTGATAAATAGAGTTCTCTTCACCTGGGAGTATCAAAAAGGACAAATATAAGATGGAGAAAGGAACGCAAGATAATGCAGAAACAAAGCACAATATTATGGAGTCTCATCAATGGGCGACAAAGCCATGCCAAGAACACACGAGCTCTCTATCGGAAGAAATCTATACAAACTGTGCGATAAAAATGTGACGCATTACCAGCTCATCCTCCTTGTAGCGCATTTTGGACGTGTGACGCCGCATACTGTACACCGTGAGCAGGAGGTAGAGGAATGCAAAGATGGTGTGAAGCCAAAGAAGATTGTTCCTGAGAAGGTAAAGAAACGGTGTCATATACATACATATCAATACAGAAAGTCCTATAAATGGACCTAAATACAGGCAGTCCCCGAGTTACATACATCCGACTCCTACTTACAGACGGAGGCTATTACTGTACAGCAGGGGTAGTTGTAACGTTACCACACTCATGCCGAGGAGGAGCACCCGCTTTTTTGGGTCTGGTTCGTAGTACTGTACGTACATTACAGGAATTTGGCTCGTTAGACGCGCAGACGAGGGGTGCCCGCCTCTTCTTCCGGGTCACTGTGAGGTTTTTACTGCTGTCTGTATCCTCATTAGAAAGATATAATCTCACTTCCTGTCCTTGACACAACAAGTGAAAAGAGTTATCATGGACAAAAAGGTGTCTCCACTGAAGCTTCATCACCAATCCTTGTTTCCACGACAACCCAAAATTTTCAAAATCCAATTGTCACAGGGACAGAAAGTGAGGTGAAATTTTTGGAATAGGGGCACACACAGCAAAACAAACTGTACAGGGGGGTTAACCCTTCCCTATGCTATCCAAAACCAACAAACAGTTTTCCAGCTGGAGTTACACTTAAAAAAATTTACCTATTCCCACTTACTTACAAATTCAACTTAAGAACAAATAATAATAAATCACACACAGACTGGTTTTTCCCCAGTGAGATCCCTCCTCCAGGTCATTTCCCAGTCATCTCCCTCCAGCACACACCATGTCCAGCATTTTTTCTCAGGGACTTCTTAGTCTGCAATCAAAAACTCCCACTACACAAACTGCATACTGAACCCATATCCTCTGTATAGACATTACATGCCGAGCCCAGAAACAGCCTGGAGTCAGACTGAAGCTCAGTTCAACAACAGTCTCTGCCCCCTCTACACAAGTCGAATCACTGCCTCTCAGTAACTGTGTAGTCGGTGTGTAGTCCATAATTGTGTGCCCTCTTCCATTCTACCTCCTGCATATATTTCTTCCTAGCATGCCCTCTACATTCCTCTCCCAACATACAATCTGCAATCCTCTTCTTCACATACTGCCCCCCGTCATACCCCCCACACTCCTCTCCTG